GTTTGTAGGTTGAGGTGTATTTTTGCGCGACCTTTCCGACCACGGTATATCAGCGAAAATCCTTTCGCCATTGTCAGCTTCCCCCTAAGTTGGAATGCTGATAATAGTATGCTCTCCAGGTCTTTCTCGGTATTATCGGTAACTCTGAGAAGTCTTGGCTTACCGTTATGGGGCGAATTCGGTGGTCGACTTAATCGTGTTAGGGAAAGTGGTTCGATAGGTTTTAACTTCATTTTAGCGCAAAGCTTGAACCACTCCTCCAGTTCTCGCTTGTGTCTCGCTTGTAACAAAGTATCGCAAGGTTCTGTGACGTTAGTGCAAATAACACTAAGTCCCGATGATGCTTTCCGTTTATTATTGAGCGACATAGTTTTGGATTCAATGGCCTTTTTTGACGTTACTACATCGGTTTGTAACAGAGCTATGGAGTTCTTTCTTAATTCAACATGCTCCACTCCCCCCACCGGCCCAGACTCACGTGGTTGTAACAGCTCTTTATATGTTCTAGTTGTTTCTCTAATGAGCCCAGTCTAATCTCCATTAGGTCGTTCCTTTTGCTGATGTCATTTGTGTTCGCATTTTGGCTGCCGTTATTCAAGATATTATCTCTACCAGTGACACATAGATAACATACTGATGGGTGACTGCAATCATTAACATCTGCACCGTTGCATCAGTTAGTGTTGTATCACAACGGGCGTGCACATGCAGTTCACAAAAACAACATTGAACTGAGGACGTATTGAGACTCACCGGGTCAGAACAGGTCACACATGGGTCGCATTGAATTTTTTTTGTGCGAATTGTGTCTACACTCGGACTAGCGTGTGCGTTAGCCGGTTAGCAGAAGTTGTGAACGCAGTCAACTCGGAAGGCCAGTGATTATCGGTCCGCAACGAAGAGGGACCCAGTAGTGAAACTTGCGCGGACAGATTTCTCGATGGCGCCCGTAAATCTTCACCTATCTTTGCAGAAGTGGTTGCAAAGGATAGAACTCGTCGCGGGCTACCGTTTCGTGAAGCCAACATGGAGTATCTTCGAAGATTGCGGGTAGTTGTGCGCGTGTATGTGGAATCCGTGACTTGAGCCAGATCCCAATATCCGTAGATTCTCAACAGCGACTGACAGAATTGCAGAAGTTATACAGAACAATTTAGCTTGCGGAGAGCAAGCGATTGATATGCAGATCAACGGTGTAGGATAGAATAGATCCAACAAAAATGTTCCAAAGGCGGAGCGCCAGAAAATACGCCCGAAAGGTGGTGTTGGCGTATATGTATGATGATGATGATGATGATGATGATGATGACGACGACGATGATGATGATGATGATGGTGATGATGATAATGATGATGCTGACGATAATGACGGTGATGATGATGATGACGATGATGTTGATGCTGATGATTCGGATGATGATGATGATGATGATGATGATGATGATGATGATGATGATGATGATGACGATCACGTTGATGATGATGGTGATGATAATGATGATGCCGATGACAATGACGATGATGTTGATCATGATGACAACAAAGATGATGCTGATGATGGTGACGATGACCATGATGATAATGATGAAGATCATGATGATGATGATGGTGACGATGGGGATGGTGATGATGACGATGATGACGATGGTGATGACGATGATGAGGATAATAATGATGACAGTGATGAGGATGATGATGATGATAATGATGAAGATCATGATGATGATGATGATGACGATGATAATGATGATGATGATGATGACGATGATAATGATGATGATTCGGATGATGATGATAATTACAAAGGTAATGATGATAATGATGGTGATGATGTCGATGATGATGACGTTGATAATGATGATGACGATGATGATGATGATGGTGATGATGATGATGACGATGATGATGACTACGATGATGATGGTGATGATGACGATGATGATGATGATAATTTTGACCATGATCATGATGGTGATGATGGTGATGATGATGGTGGTGCTGATGATGATGGTGATGAGTGTACTGTGGGCGCCACGGCTTGGAATCCGTGTCATTGGCATACGACTTCATTAAGGACTCGCATTTCTCGCCTGTTCCCTCCATCCCAAAATTTAATCGATAGTTTTCGTGCTTGAATCATTGTCTCCACCAAAATTTTGATAGTGGAAGCTAATCGGGAATATATGTATTTGCATCACGGGAACTTCAGTACCGGTTAGCTGTGTTCCAGTGCACGTCAGCTGATTTTTGCTGCACCGTGAGAAACTACGTGACATCCTTGCAGATCTTCAGTGCGTGGGTTTTGGAATAAAGATACGCTAAATGATACATGAATTTGTTGGCCAGTCACGGAAAATATAACGGTTGACACTTAGCCATTTTCGGATACAATCATCTTATAAGACTTCATAGAGGAGCAAATTTGACCGTTAGATTTGGGGGAAACCGTGCCGTGGGAGAGTTTGCGTGGAATTTAAAGGTTCATTTCCATTGAATGCAGAAGAATTCTCCCAAATTATGCGACACCGATTAATTTACGCTTATTTTAAAGCAATTGTTTATCAACCTTTGTCGCTGAGGGACTACTGATGTTGCTGTAAGCTCAATTCTTGCTGATAATTCATTCTAAGTGGAACCCATCTCTGCTTAGAGGCCGAGAAGCACCGTAAGGCCAATGCTGCTATTTCTCATTACAATGTACATGAATCTTCGGAGTGACTCGAAATAAAAATTCCATGATAAGTACCGTGGATTTCGTGACTTAAGGATGGTTGGCCCTATTTTCTGTCTGGGCACAAGTTGTTCATGTTGGAATAACTTAGTCTCTAACTGCTATCCGGATGGCCGTGTGTTCGAATCTTCTCGAAGGTCGTGAGTTGTGCACCGCCGATTACTTCCTATAAGGATGAAGCGGTACAGTACTTCGACATATAGTGGCTTCACTGACAGGACGAAATATCCATTGAAAATTCTACAGTCTGCTCACATTAGTGGCATACTAAATCAGTCAAATCAGTGTAGTGTCAAGTGTTGCCTGTGCCTACATCAAGACCATGCGTATTATGGTTAGCCTATCTGGACAGTAAAACTGAGGCTTTTAAAAGATGTCATTTTTTGACATTGTTAACAGTTCCGTATAATTTAGTCACATACTTTCAGCGTTAACATTGAAAAGAAAGCCCATATCAAACATAACTATTCTATTTTTCCGTTAGTTCAGGTCATTTACGCACTCTTTCAGCCATTTTCTCCAAGGTATATTGTCCAATCTGTTTGTTTTTGTAATTTAAATGGACAAGTCTGCGTAAAATCATTTGCAAATAAGAACGTTTGCTGTCAGGTTCCAAACTCTGCTGAAGAAACCGACTTCGTAATGCACTAGTTCTACCTAATTTATCACCGACATAGCTGAATTTGAGGGATTCGGTACCAATCATCAAACCTCTTTAAGTTGTGAGTTGACGCTACAGGGTCTTCCGTCTCGCTGGAAACCGAATAAGTTACTGCTCGCTACTTTTCACCTATTTTTATACCTTCTGAATTCCAATCGACTAGTCCGTCCACGGCGGACGGAGATGAACTATCAAATCAGGATTTTCTCATGTCATTGGGGCCAATGTACGATGAAAAGCCGAGAAACACTGTACGGCTGTTTCATCCTTATTTGGAATCATCAGAAGTGCGCATCTCACAAAACTCAGTGGTTGAACACTAAGCAGTTCGGCTATAAGGGGCTGAACAGCAGCGTGATTGGCTCTTACATGGACGGGACATAGCCCAGTTTGTTCTTCATTCACGAAAAGCACATGAAACAGTCACGCATCAACTGGTCCTCGACTGACGGCTTGTCAGTAGGGTCAGATTCCTGAAAACGACCCCAGAATGCTCGGAACCGACTGAGGCCCTAAAAGCACCGGAAAGCATACAGTTCGATCAATTATTAAATTAACTCGGCAAAAGCTGATGAGAGTTCAGGCACGTCAAAGAAGCACGATCAACTACGACATGTGTTCAAGCATTTCACAGAACCACGGTCGACGTTGATGGATGCTCACTAAACACCGATCAGACAGTCTGGATCAATGTCAAAAAGTGCTCTTTAAACGGCGCGAGGTTGTCCTAACTTTCACACTCGCTTGCTTGTGATAAATTTGGTTCCTTCTTTGTTGGCGAGTCTTCTTACGGCACTGGAGCGGGGACAGCAGTTAGATATAACACGTCTCATATGGAGATTTCACTTTTCCCGTGAAATTATTCTTCACCTGAGCCACTTGTAAAATAATGGTAGCATGAGGAAATTTGCTAAGTCCCAATTGAAACGTCGTCCTGTTGGAATAATCATATCCCGAAACGACCAGTGCTCTGTTAGTTCATCGGCGGTTGCAGGAGATTGGTGAAGGCATCATTAGTTTGTTAATCGCGTAGCACGTTCGCATAGGTTGCATAAACACCAACTGAGCCTCACAGTAAAACTTACTCCACGTGCGCGAGTAAAGATCGAGTGGGAAATCGGATCTATACGACAAGTGAATTTAAGCATTTTCACATGGTCATATTGAATACGACTGTGATTTTAAATGTCATTCTCAGATATCATCTGTGAAAATTCCGTGGTGGTGTTGTCTGAAAGACGCTTTCAATAATGGCAGTGGGAAGTTTAGTCACCCATTACGAGTGATGTAGTGTGAATTGAGTGAAGACATGTACCACGATTATGAATGCTTCATTCGTAGGACATAAAGCAATAGCATAGGAAGGCATCTTTCAAAGCAGATTTTTACATCTTGATGAAATAACATGGATTTTCAAAACAGGAGTCGGCAGCCAATCTGAAGGCATCTATGTGGGAACTTGAATTCAGGTAGTCAAAGTCCGCAACGTTGACCACTAGGCTGTCCGGGCCGAAGCCGCTCGGATGCGGCGTGTCAAATCAAGCAACTAGCTTAAGAGTCAGGCAGAAATGGGGCATCGTACATGCGAATGCAGCTGTGATGTCTGTTCAGATGCGAACAACAAAAGCACTGCACAAGACCGATTCCAGACTACACGGAACTGACAATGAATGGTGCTTGTCTTCTGAAACATCCAAATGATATGTGGTCTGTGTTGATAAACCCAGGGAACAGCTTTGCAACCTACGTCCGAGGAATTGACGTTTGTTAGGTAGAAGGGTGATGCTATAGGGGAAGTTGACATGTTAGGACAAAGCGTGTAGATCTCTCTACTCGGTGGACTTGCTGGAAGTATATACATCTTTACTCAGACGCTTATTTGATATGCCGAAGATCACAAAGTGTTGCTACATGACACTACTGGTGGTCTCTACTGATTTCACAGTTACTTATGCAACCACCAGTACCAGTCCTTATGTTTTTTCCAGTAGTTATAACTCGTTTCAACACTTTCCGACTTGCAAGAACCTCCATGATATCCTCAACAACTGCTAGAATCATGTGTAAAACGAAAGTAAAACAGTTTGGATGGTTATAGGTGTCTCTAGTGCCGTTCACAAGATCTAACTTGTCGCAAGAGTGAAATCCATGTCGGAGTACACGCACACGGAGTACACATATCACAAAATCACAGTAACCAGTCAAGAAAAGAGCAGTACCAGGTGGATCTCGATCTACGAGGCCGTCAGTCCAAGAACAAGTAAACATCCAACGAAACATACGTATACTTTTTCAACTGGAAATTGATCATATAACTAGACGGAAGTCCCAGAAATGAGAATTAAAAACCCCGAACTGCAACAAGTCCAAAGGGTATCGCTTTGTTGGACAGAATAGGAAGTAGACGATGCTCATAAGCCGCATGTACGAAATAAACATACTGGCCGCTCCGTGCCGTTTGTAATCCACTCATCCAGGTCACACAAAAGGTAGTCGATACTCAAAAGAAAACCGGATAACACAGTAAGTGCACCATCTATCTACCTATCGCTTCTGAGTGTAACTTAGAATACGATTCCATAGAGAAAAGGATATACTGCTGATGAGCTACGTAGTCCCTGAAACGAAACTCGCGAGAGGATGACCGTCCGTAACGATTCTGTGAATACGCAACAAGCCGGATCCTGAGTTCACTGTCATCAAGCTTATCACTTAATAGTAATAATTGAGTCGCAATCCTTACAACAACCTGGATCGTACTTCCTTGGCGATGCCAGGAATAATAATTCATCTCACTACAGCCTTCAGATTTTAAGCAATAAAGGTGTGAATACTGAGCTTTCTGTCACCTATGTCAACTGTCACCAGGTGCAACCACAAAGACACGCATTAACAGATCGGATCGGTGTCTTTGCAAAACTTTCCAAAGTATTCTACACGCACCGTTAGACCGCAAAAACACTGAGTTTCCAGCCAGCAGTAACGTCGGCCACCAGAAACCTGACCACAAGTCGCTCAATTGATCAGGAAGCGACATGGCTGCGGTTAGAACACGAATTTACCGACCGCAAGGTCCGTGGTTCGAACCCAACCTCCACTTCTCAACTTCAACAACCTGGCAGTATCCTAGCCCTTGTGCTTCCTTCGAGTGGCATGGTAGTTGTGCACCGAAAGAGTACTACAGCTGAACCTTACTTATTTTTATTTCAGTCGATCAGTCAGTCCCTCACAGTACTGATGAACAATCTAATGTCATGAACGCTAGCATTCAGCTTTACTTCAACTTTACTTGCACAAAATACACTGACTCGCGAGATGTCTAACTTGGCCATGATTTCGGAATGCCTCCGCTGTTTTGAACGTTTTTTCTACGTCATGCCCTTTACGCAGAAGAATGATGGGAACGAAACAAAGGCAACTATCTCAACGGTTGTCTTCTTACAGATCTGAGCAACTGGATTAAGGAAAACCAATGATTTATGTTTCTCAAACGAATATTCGGAACAACCTGAGAAAAGCTATTTAGACGCAGTTCAGCTGCGGGTGATTCCATCAGAACCAAGAGTCTAGCGGGAACACCGTTTTCAGGTTTTTCAATCTACTGTCCTCTTTATCAATGTCCCACTGAGTTGAGTGGATCTTACATTTCTGAGCAACTGGATTAAGGAAAGCCAATGATTTATGTTTCTCAAGCGAATATTCGGAACAACCTGAGAAAAGCTGTTTAGACGCAGTTCAGCTGCGGGTGATTCCCTATCATCAGAACCAAGAGTCTAGCGGGAACACCGTTTTCAGGTTTTTCAATCTACTGTCCTCTTTATCAATGTCCCACTGAGTGGGATTTCCTGTTTAAGAGAAGTTTCTTCCGCGTAAAAGCGAGGATGAATTATGACAGAATAGTTGACAGTGCATAATTCACCAAGCATTTATATTTAATCCAGCTTCCTACATCCATTTTGGAACTCTTCGTAAGCTATATTTTTTTGGATTATAGTACTGCATCAGTAAGCCGTAAACCGCACACGTTGAGTCCAAAAGTCCCTTACGAATGTAGCTGCCTGAAAGGAGATATCACCCTTATTGAAGTCCGCCACCTTTGAAGTTCCGAATGACTAGCCACTTCACTGACAACAAAAACGGATGGGTGGAAACTTGAGGGTATTTTCCTGCTGCAAGTCACCGGCGGAAACCAGGGGTCATCCACCGGCGGAAACCAGGTGTCATCTTATTTCCACCTATGCCCGAAAAATGATTGAATTTTAGAGGACGGCTGTCGCGATTGCCGGTCACAAGACTGAATCAACAAGAAAAAGCCACAGTGAGGGAAGACTCTACATATCGGGGTGCAGAATAGTCACAAAACGATCTAATAAGCATCTACAAACCAACAGTGGAGACAAAACCATACAATATGAAAAACGCTATCAACAGGCAAATACAATCAAAGAAGCCAACACGGGATGACAACAATAATGGGGCAGTCAATAAATCGCACTGACCAAATTGTGGACAGCACAGAAATGCATTTAGACAGGAGATACGGAGTGATTGACATTGAGTGGGCAAATAGCTGGCATACGTCCACATTAGGAATTGCGGTGTGATGGAAAAGGAAAACGATGAGAAGATCAACTGGGACCGACCACCCAACATAAACGGGTTTAGTTCCATCATTTTCCTTCGCTTTGTTTGAAACACAGCCATGGTTTTAGCTGAAGTCACCTGGCCTAAGCAATCAATCACTGAGGAGGATCATTCGAAAGAAAGATAATGCTGAAAATGGTGAGATAAATGCACCGAAACTGAGGTCGGGCAAAAAAGGGAACGAAAAAACAAGCTGGGTAGATTGACTAGTGTCTTCAATAAAATTATGCTTTCATGTGTTGTATTTTCATCTCTGACATTCGTGCCATTTGTTCCGTAGCACTGATTGTCGGTTCACGTCGCATGTAGGAGCCAGCACGGGGATAGAAATGCCGGACAATGGTACTCAGAACGATCACAACTATCAAAACTATATGTACAGAAAACCCGATGCTGTGCCAGTAGTCCCAGGTCGCCCGAGCGTCCAGAAGAAGGAATCCCATTGCACAATACTCAAACACGCGCATCTTAAGAATCCAGGAGAGAAATGAGAGACTTCCCGAAGGTAACGCCTCACCACAAGCTCCAACAAGAACGGACAGACCAGATTCGGCCACCAGAGCCAAGGGGATAATCATGAAGGACAGGTAGTAGCCAGGATGAAGTCCGTGCCAATAGGCACTCAACAACATGGTCCATGTGGAGCTGAAGGTGAACAGGAGAAACTCAAGTTAGGAGAAAGCGTTACGAAGACTCTTACCTATGTTGCCGACACCGTTCGACGAACTTTGTACGTGTAAGCGGTCAAGTCATATTAAATATATTCACGGTTTAAATAGCAGTTGAATTTAGCATCAAAACCGAATTCGAGCAACCAGGGAACCAATCATTCGCCTGCAAGTTTAAGAATATTATTAAATGGTCACTGGGTCGAACCAGCAGTCCCATAAATGACGGCTAGCCGATTCACATCAAGCTAAAGGGACCGGAAACTTCAAATACTTGATTTTAGGCTTGGTGAATATCTCACGAGCCAGAATGGAGAGGGAGAAATCCCAATACCACTGCCAAATCGGGTACTAACCTTCAATTGATCGTCAGTAACCACGAGACGCTGCTGCTTTGTAAGGTACACTACGAGGTGTAACAGCTATGGGTTTTACCCTGACAGTCCCACTCCTCGGAATGTCGAAGTTCTAATTGTTTACAACTTTGCAGAAGGTTCCAACTTGAACATGGGAATTTACAACACGCAAGTAAAGTTGCAACTCGTTGTTGAAGTAGCTCATGACTACTGGTCTGTATTACCAGTGGCCCGTGAGTACGTTGACCGCGGGACAGTATAGGTTAAAACACTGTCTGCAAAAATAATCCTGAAACATACAGGCGCATGACTGATCACCACGTGAAATCAAAAACTCTGAACCGGTGACTATGATGAACCCAGGCATTTATCCCACATACAACGTCGTGCACATAGTGGAGACTTGCAACGCAGCAATAAAACTTACCGTAAAACACGATTCCCGGGGCAACGTTTGTGGAAATTCGTCGCCAACCAGTACTGGACCGTCTGGTTCCATGAATGCATGCCTTCACGGACGGTCGGAGTGAATTCGCAGCCCCATACACTGATGTTCTGTATTGTGGTGTAGTCATAAGCTTCAGTGGTCGGTCGATTAGCAGAAGTGGACCGATTAGAATTAGATGTCGACTGAGTGAAATTCACTGAAGAAATGGAATTTTGCTCCTGTAATTTCGGATCATACGCGCACATCCAGCTATAAGGTAGGCCAAAAATAAACAGTTCTAAGGTCACCCAAAGTGTCCTCGCTGGCACACCAAAAAAAAACGGTGCCATAACAAATTATCAGTAGAAACAGAAAGACTAGAAGGAACGCGTGTGGCGAGGACAATGAAATGGTATTTGTCGAAACCAGAAAAGTTATGAGAACAAAACCAAAAACCTTCTCATAAAACAACGTTACTCAAGTGATGTGACCTCCGCAACTGAATTGACCGACAAAAAACCTGTCTTAAGGAAAACTAATCCTAGGCAGAACCTGACAGTCACGCATGTCATGTGGTGTGCTTTGCACCAAACAAACTCAGCAAAAACGAGGGAAATGGACTCCAGCTTCGAGCAATTAAGACAAAGGATCAACAACCATTGGGTTAAGGTTGACTGACCAAATAGTGATCCAGTGGGTTCGCATGGAAACCTGGTATGAAAAAAAAGATAGCTGACAGTTTAACAACCATTATCCACCCATTCAGCCGTCGTCTGTTCGACGCACAGGCTTCGGCACATAAGCTGAAAAGAGAAAGAATAGCACATGCCTCTTACGTGTCTTGGTTTGACGTGGTCTGTGCTGTTCTGCTTGATCGAAGAAATTCCAGCGGAACAATGCGTAAGACTGTGCTATAGGCCCTAATCTGCAGCAAGAGATGGATGTCCCGTCACCACTGTGGATGTTTGTAATCGAGAAACTTCCTCAGGCTTTCTCAGTTCGTTGTGTGACCATATCTCTGACGCCTTCAGAAGTCACCAGTGAAAGAAGCAGTCGAGTATCCCTACTAGACCTCCATCTAAGACGACCGCACGGACAGACCTGTCTTCCCCTTTTTAACATAATAATAACAATAGTATACAAATGAAAAACTGTGGTTGTACCGAAGTTAAGTATCTGCTTCAGCACTGATGTTGTATGTGATGACGGTTATGATGATAAGCTACTGTCGAACCTGGATCTTGCATTTTGGGAGAGCAAAGGATACGACCGTACCGTACCAAAGTGATGGCCTAACGAGGCAAAACAGCTCGCATCCCGATTGCACAAACGGTTCTGGTAGTTCTGACAAACGTTTTCTGCCTCAGCTCACCGATAAGGGCATCGGGTCATGCGGCCCGAATGATTGAGTCTCTTCTCTACTCTTGACTCATGATGATGTTGTCCGTGGTACTGTTTCTTCTTTCATCTCGTTTTCGGTCTATACGAAAGCGAACCTACAATCCAGAACCTCTCCCCTGATGCCAGTGCGCCCAGGAGTGCAAGAACGAAGTTACGTTTTCAATATCTTTAATCATAACCTATATGTTCCACTGGAGTCAACCAAAAACCTTTACTACACAACCACTTCAGTATGAAAGTATATAGATGGATTACTCCCTTGGCAAGAGGAACAGCTGCCCACCAAACAGGATCAATGACTTGCTTGTTGAATTAGTCTTGCTTCTGTCTCCGAATTATTACCATGGTTGTTGGTAGTGTGACCTAAAAATTGAGGCGCTAGTCGCAGTGACAGACAGATCCGACTCCAAAACAACTTGGTAGAAATGTGGAGAATGCCCTGAGTGCACATAGTAACCAGACAATCCTGTCAACCGGAAACGCCTGTTTATACCCTGCAATCATTCAACACTGTCAACCTTTTTCCTCTTTCGCACGGTTCTTTCCGTCACGAAGAGACTGGACCTTATCGGGGTGTGACGGTTTGTGTGCATCTGCGGCCCACTGATCTATAGTGGAGGGCGTCTGAGCGACACTCACGATGTCCCTCATACCGGGTTGGTCAATGGTAGGAGGTCTGACCAACGCAGCATCCTGACCCTCCAGGGTGAGAGTTGGAACGTGTGGCGACTTATTCTGTAAAAATTGCAATGCACTTGCATTTCACGCTAAAGACCGCTGTTCTGCGGTCAGGCCTTTGAGTCAAATGGCCCTAATAGCGCTCCTGTCTAGGTCCGGGCGTTCTGGAGTATTCGAACCTACATACAACCTCGAATTTAACACTTAAAAATAACTGCATGCCACATCAGCCATCGAGTGGTGCCATCGGCCGAGTCGTCTTACTTGCTGCACACAGCTGGGCGGGTAAACGAAATCAGGCTATTGTTGAGGCCTTCCTTCTTTCTCTTTCACACGCTTTCTTATACTCCTAAAAGCTATCAATCTGTGGGCCACTAAATTCATCAAACTCCCAGTTGCGCCGGCATGGAGAAACCCACAATATCGAATACTTGCAGCAGACGAGACCTAGAGGCCATAATCGTCGAAATAACAAGAACCTTGGGCATTGTTGATATGCTTCATCTGGTACTCTTGTACCTTCCATCGGCAGATTACACCTAATTCCGTAGAAATACGGAGTTACGGTCCTTTGATGCTAGTCACCAAAGGACCTCCATGATCAGGATTCGGGATTCAGCAGTCCACATATTAACGATAAGAGCAAGAAAACTGTCAAAATTCACTCTTCCCAAGGACCAGTCAAAGAACACAAGATTTAGTTCCAAAGAAACAAGCTCAACGAAAAAATGCGAAGCTGTAGTAACTAACAACCTCTTCAGGGCCCTCAAGTTTGTCGGTCCCTCGCCACTTCGGGGTTCGGAGATAGCAGGATAGGCACCCAAACCAGCGGTCATGCACACGCATTCGGCTGCCTTCCAAGCAAAGTAGATCCGCAATCGGAACACGAAGAAAATTATGAACATGTAGAAGAACCGGTAGCTGAAGGAACGTCCGAAAAACTCATCTGAACGAACATACTGCGGAGAGGAGGACAGAAAACGAAACAAGAGTCATTTTAGTGTATGAAAGAAAACATACTCGGGACCATTGAAAATTACCAGGGATACCTTTTCTGAGGACGAGACCAAGTTTAGCCACGGAGCACTTATAGGCTTTTATTAGCAGTACATTCATATACCAAACAACCGAATGAGCGGCACGTTTCTCAGGGATAATACATTCTTAAGAAAAGCATACCCTCTACAATCTGCAGATAGTTTCATGCCACCTAAAATTACTGCACTGCCACAGCTAACTCCTTACAACAATCATAACTTTCCTACCATTCCACCCATGGTATTCAATATTGAACGAAAAATGAGGTCTAGGGACAGGTCAAAGCTTTATCACATCATTTACTGAAGAAGAGTTCCTCATCAGTTGCTTCAAGAATTGTAACGCCAGATTAAAGGGAGCGCACAACAGACGGTTTACATAGGAAAGGTAGCCCTATGGTCATAGATTCATTGTAAAGAAGACGCACAGTAACCATACTAACAAAACGGCAGTCAGGATAGCTTCCATCTGAAACGTCTGATGTCGCACTTACATCCACTCCATAGAAATGTGAGAGAATAAGATAAGCGACCCCAAACACCGGTGCTTCCTGCAATTGTTGAAGCAGCAGATCAGATGAGCCCTCAGGAGCTTCCGCTGGCCAGTAAACGAAGTCCCAAAAGGTCCGATATTTGTAGTATGGGCCTGCGTTTTGAAAAAATGAAGGAACGGAAACAGGATGCATTACTGGACACAAAACTCGTATGAGAACGAATAAGATGAAAAAGCGCTCACTAGGGGGTCATAACGTACCACAAAAAATTGAAAAAAATACTGGAACAAGTACCTGCACTAGACGTGATACATGCACCTAATGATTCGTTTATATTACAAGACAGACCGAAAGTGACCTGGTGCAGAAATCCTGGAGCCGAATTATGCAGCGTTTCCTGAAGTGAAATCTCATACCAGATCTCATACCTCAACGGTAAGAAAAATAACATCTCCCGAGTTAATGACCAGGTTTTTTTTGTTCTAACGATGCCAGCAGAAGCTTTATCGTATACAGACCGTTGCGCTGTCTTATGATAACACTCATGCTAGACTACTCCCAACAAGCAACACTCTTGGAGGTGCTCCAAGCTGGGTCCCAGATTAAATTCAGGAACACTGTTTTGGCTTCCAGGACATCCATGGTCTCCCTGAAAATGGAAGCCAAAGTTTCTCCAGGCGAATTCCCTTTGAATACTCAGCCTACCCCACATGACCTGCCGTTCGAAGATAAGAATACCGTGTTTTGAACCAAGACTCACCAAACGTCCGGGGATGAAATCTCTGTACTGTTGTCGCTTTCGCCCACAATATCATTCATGACGTCCTACTTTTCTGGATGCTATTATCATCCCGGATTGCGACAGCTTACCTCCCACGAACAACCATAGCTGCCTTTACCCCATATCCTCAGTGAATGCGCCGACCAATGATGTTTTCTACAATGGGATCAAAGAAATGACCTACCGTACAGCCAAGCAGTAATGCCGTGAGTGTTGCTGATGGCTGGAATGTGATAACTAGAGCCTCAGATGACGCCAGCGGTCACATTCCCGGGGAATTCAAATTCAGACCATGTAAAAAAAGGTGACCCACAGGGCACGTAACAACTAGGTGTCGGCTGTGTGATGACCAGTGTCGTCATAGGAAATTCAAGATAAACCAAATGTGAAACGGCAGACAGGATGGATCCTAGTTCCCTTTACCAGTTTGTCTTCTCAAGCTTAAGATTGCATTGACGATACGTAAATCCACAGGATAAACACAAACTGCACAAAAAATAGACAACAGCCGAGGAGGAGCAACCAGTTAAGAGATTCGCAGCAATTTCAGTCATGTTCAGAAGCCATCTGTACTGTGACCAAAGCTAGAGAATACAAAATGTAAGCCCGTCAAAAGTAGTGCCGACCGGATTAGGATATTGACATGACGTATACATAAGATTATATATAACCGGATTAAATGGCATATGGGATGAGGATATCAGTAATCGACGGTCTCAGAACAATCCTAGACAGCTATTCAGAATAAGACAAAGACCAATCCAACAGGAGCAACACCTGATGAAATATCCAAACAGGGAAAGGTTATCACATTCGGCTGGCTAAACGCTCGGAGTAAGGTGGTGATAACAACTATGGAACGAGATAGTCACACAACCCAACAGCAGAGAGCACAAAAACGGTACTGGCATAACCGTGGGCAATGCTGAGAGCGAGGTGGCTCTTGTGGCAAATACTCAACCGGGGAGAAATAGTGGGTTATTTCGGACAGAATGTTTTGACTGTTCAGAAGACCTTTGCTACCATCACGGTCCTCTTGTAACGGTGATCCGTTGTACATTACAAAGACACAAACCATAAGAAGTCTTTCGCCAAGTGACTATGCCAGATAAGCGAGCACGAATACACTAACTTAATTTGCAGGCAAGAAGTATGAGCCTAAAACGAGTGAAGACGAGAAAATACTGCGATTGGGGGGGGGGGGTCATTCTAAGTCATTCTAAAGACAACCGATGATACTCAATAGCTTCGAATGTATAAAATCAGTTCACTTTACTGAATCGTGTCATGTACTGAAAAGATTCTAACTAATTTAATCCACTGAAAAAACGGTCGAATAAATAGTGAGTGAAAAACTATTTAATTCTCCTGGATGCTGAAGGGAACCGAATCCCCCTCAAAGTGAAGTTTCCACAGGGGAGAACAAGTGCCGTCGGTCCCGTGGGTATGCTGTCCATCTCCGAAGATGTAAATACGATTTTTAACGAAGCCTATAAATGGGTTTGGACGAGTGCATTTGAAAAGCACCAAACGGCCTAGCTGAATTATTCACAATGGCTGAAAGATATGAAATATTTGGGTGTACACGCACAAGAAAGTCAGGTGATATTATTTTCGCACTGATGACTCACTCCAGATGCTAGGTTATTCGTACCAATAGAACTGACGGAATTAGACGGCTGAGAACATCAGCCTGAGAGAAGCAGTTTTCGCTCGAATCAACAGTCGTCCCAGAAGCATCATTTGACAAAGCAACAGAAACGAGATTTAGTCTATGTGTGTATGAGTTACACTAATACGCCAATGGCTAACTTATCCCTCCAAGACAAATTACCAGCTGAATAATGAAAGGCAGACCCGTTTGCGGATGAGACGTACCTGTAAAGAGTCCAATGTAACAGTACGCGTAGCAAATGACATCCACAGGGGAAACGGAAACACTTTTGTAGTCCCTGATAAGTTTCAGCTGGCTGGCTTCGGTTGTGTCGTTTGGATCAAGCAACTTGCCCAACTTTTGGTCGGTCTTCCAGCTATCATATACTTCAAACGACAGTCCGATCAACTAGTGGGGGTGTAATGATGAGACAGTTTGCATTAAGCCTTACCCGCAGTGTGAGGTTGAGTTGAATTGCGTTGGCAAGAGCAGGTGGTTTGGCGAAGCCGAAACTGTCACAAAGCCGGAAGAAACCCAGATAACCGAAACACCAGACGCAAATTACGTAATGAAAGAATCTAGGGACATAAAGGTGAGATGAGAAAACGAGCTACCAGTACCTTGGAGGACACATACCGAGGAAAAAAATAAACCCACAAGTAGTGACTAGAGAGTGCCAAATAGCTAGCCCGATAGTCCCGAGAGCCAAGCAAATTCCGAGAATGCAAGGTAAAAATAGCGTAGCTTTTCCCCTTCTTCTTATCAACAATCCGAATAAAAGGGAGAGGAATAGCAGGAATGCGTAGATGGTGTCGTCCAGTGTCATGCTAGCTGGCTAGCGAAATCTACAAGGAAAGCGAAGAAACGTGGTGAAAAACAGGACCGTCCAGAAATGACATTCTTTCGGTGCAAAACCGTTTAATACATTGAAGCAAGTGGTCTGTATTGACAAGTGAAGTGAGACTTAATAGGATCACGTATGGCAAAAAATCAATCATTCGGCTGTGACACTCTTTCGGTGCTTAGCTGCCATGCCACCCGAAGGAAGTACGAGGGTTGAAATACTGTCAGAGTGCCCAAGCCTAGGTAACAGCAATCGAGATGCTGAGTTCGGGTTCGAACCATGAGCCTTCCTGTCAACAAATTCACGCCTTACACGGCAGCTACCTTAGGTGGGAAGGCACATCTGGTTTGTTAAACGGCGAGGATTCTCGTCAAGGATAACTACCAGGAAGGTCAGATTCCTGAAATCAACTTCTGAACGCCCGGAACCTACTGCTCCACCAAAAGCTCAACTGGAAAGCCGGCAAGCATCCAGGCCAGTCAATCATTCGATCAATTCAGTAAAACCTGATGAGTGTTCTCTGCGCCACAGAAGCACGACCGAATGTAATCAGCGTTCAGGCTTTTCACAGAGGCACGATCGATGTTGATGGGTGATCACTAACGCCTATCAGAGAGCCTGGATCAATGTCAGAAAGTCCCCTTTAAATAGCGTGGGGCCGTTGTAACTTTTGCACTCGTACTCGCACGCACTCTCACGCTCTCTCACTCACTCGCTTGTTCGGAATACAGCTGTTGTGTTCCCTTCTGTGAGTCTTTTCTCTCCGACACTAGGCACTGGAGCGGGTCAGCAGTAGATACCACGGGCCGACGAAACAGCAGATATAACAATAACAAACCAGGTTGCAGCTGACAGAAAACACTGTAACGGACTATCCATTTTTTCGGAGGAGTCTTCCTCTGGGATGAAGACGATGTTCGAAAAAATTGAGCGGGGGTCCAAACCTCCGGTAAATGAGTTCGAGTTGCACCGTGATTTACAAAAACAATGACGAATCCACGTTCGGTCAGAAAGACGCTAATTGTAGGGGAACGATATAAGATGTAGAAGGCTGTAATTGACGCAACAAAAGATATTATCAGTGCGCACCTAACTGTGCACTGATGATGTCTCCTCGTATGTTGACGGAACGTTTGCAAGCCAATTGCCAAGCTCGGCGAACAGATCAACAGCCACGTGATCAACAACCAATAAACTCACCCGAGCTACCAATATTTCACCACATTACTGGCGTAATAAAAACTTGTTCAACTTCACCAAACGCTAACTTGAACATCGAATACGCAACAGCAGGACGACCACCAATATCTCCTTTACACGTTTACTATCTTTTAAGAGAGCCTCGGAAGCTACAGGGGTTCAAGTAGTGTGGCACGAAAAGCATGTTGCAAGAGCTGAGACGTAGACTACTCCTAATGCAAATATGAGATAGCAGCATATATGTCACTGGTTTCGGTTGTGTTACACTTCGGAAGTGAAGCATCGGTGTTGAACACTGATGTCATGCTGTCGACGATGATGACACTTCGGAGATTGTTTCCAAACAAACAAGTATATTTATGGGTGCCTATACTGGAAATCACTTTGACCCAATCGACCAGAATTCTGGGAAGCTTCGTGCGTTTTCCCAAAGTTTGCCGTCGAGTACCATCAGCTCGTTTCCAGATAGACAGCGCTTACTAAGGAGTTCGTTGAGCTGCATAGTAGGGAAGAACCTTTGGGATAACCAAAAGGATTCCTTCTAGATATAAAACTAATAAAGACACACCGGTCACCCGCAAGAAACCAATGACAGCTATTTTCATCACTACTTAGGCGCTGTCCTCAAAGACGCCAATAGTTGCTCCTACGTACCAGCCGTACAAAACGTTCACCCACAAATCAGTCAGCCCAGGTATGGCATCCATATGATGGTAGGGCGTTGTCAGTCACTCATTGAGTTAGCTGCATTCTGAGGACGATTTGTCTCCTCTGCATAACTGGCTAGGGACCACAACTTGACGTTATATGCGTAGACGAGACTTAGGAGTCAAACAATGAGCATCTCAGGGTCATGTTGGCATATTGCAGTTTCCATCAAATCATTGCTATGCTTTTCGCCTACCTATGGACGCGCAGAAAGTTAGCGTCACAAAATCCGGCAATTCGTAAATACTAAATTTTATGGGCTTTTGTCGAGGGGACCTGATTCTAACCCCATCAATTAGCTCGAGTTGTGGACGAAGGGCAGTCGATACTTCGAAATCTCCAACTGGATTAGACAGACACTAAATGTTGCGATATGAGCGACAGCCTATACCATGCAGTACTATGGGAAGAACTTCAAATTTACGTGACTTCTATTGCTCAAACGTCGGTCACGTTCCGGAAACTTCGAGTGAGAGTGTAAAATTCAATGATAGTTTGGTCGGTCCTGCTGAAACCCGTTANAGTACCAAAGATGATCACGTTACTGCTTGTACTCATTGACTCTCCTGCCCACCTGGAACTAAAGGTCACCTGCTTCTGAGGTTTGGCTGGACGGGTGGAGTTCCGTTTGTATTCCATCGATTTTCTGCGGGCAAATCTGGGAGGTTAAATTTGAGGCTTCTGGGAATAAAGACAAAACAACTGACAGAACGATACCTCCACAGCGTGGATACTTTTTAAGGACCAACCTTTCAAGCTTTGCGAAACGTCCATTCCGTTTTCTATATATCGTTCAGCTGTAGCACCCTTTCAGTGCCTAGTTGCCACGCCACACGGAGGCACGAGGGCTGGGATACTGCCGGGTTGCCCAAGCCTAGACAGGGGAAGTAGAGAGGCAGAGGTCGGGTTCGAACCACGGACCTTCCGGACAGTAAATTCGCGCTCTAACCACTTGGTCCATCTTGATTTCTCGCAAAAGCTCCCCTATTGATCACTTAGCTACGTGTGCTATTGGGGCACATGGAAACACCCTTAGGTCGATTTGGACGATCGGTCTCTCGTGTCGACTACCCAAGATGCAAAACATATCAGAGTACTTGCACTCCCCTTAGGAGTCACAAACCAGAAAGATTTGAGTACCGCTTCCGGGACGTCTACATAGTTATATAAATCCCATAACTAAATCCGGTGCAGGCGTTCCAGAAATTCCATTTAATTATGAAAGCGAACCAGGCGAGAAACTCCGTAAAAAACGCGTTCACCTCACGGCACACCTCAGTAAATTTGTGAGTTTGTCGCTGCCTGAGTTAGCTGACTGGTGACTCAGTCTGATCCTTATTGGGCCCTGAAGTCTTCCGAGAACCAGATTCGTACTGCGCTACTGGCTATAAATAGACCTTCTTGAGTTTTCATACTGCAACGTCATCCTGGAAAATTCTTCTCATGTTGCTGAGCGGAGAGCAGAAGCCAGAAGTAACTAATCAATGTGGACGTGGCCCACATCATGAGCCTACCAACAACATAACCATTTCTCATGCCAGTAATGTGCAAAGCCTTTGTGTAAATAAAACAACGGCGTTACAATGGCATCTTAACGAGAATAGTGTGATTTATACGTTAGAATAAAGATTTCACAAACAGTAACCACGTAGCACGAATCTATTCTTCACCAGAAGTGGACAGCAGCAATTGCTGCACGACTGCACACACGCGTGACACGGTAGGGCGTCCAATAGCGCTCCGTATAAGCGGTTTCTATACAGATTTCGTGCGTCCATAGTTCTTCCCCGACCGCCGGTCTCAAATCAAAGTGAGTGACATATTAGCCGGACCTCTCGGAACACAAATTTATCTGGATTCCAAGTTGAGACCAGAACTGTTCAAGGTTTACAGCAACGACCGACCGCACTTTTTGAACGTTGACCGCTGTATGCAAGCGAGCTAGTTCAAGAACCGAGTGGAGAAAATTTAGGAGCAATCTTCCGAAAGAACCCAACGTGCACTAGAAGCGCTGACTCGTCAGTGGCGCTGGGGTCACCTTTAAACTAAGTCAACCCTTTTGCGTTATCAACGATTTACCAAGAAAGTCTTTGATTTTCTCGTATGCCGGCGGAGACCATGCGCATCCTGTCTTCCTCCAACATGCTACGTTTCCCAGAGTATTGCCAATCAATTGTCTAAAAAGAGGGCGAAACGACACGGTATCAATCGGGTTGCACTTTTCCGTAACTATTTTTGTGAGTATAGTTTGATATATCCTAAGCTATCCGTGCGCTAAAGACGTCTACGTCAGTGAAGCATCAGTGGCAACACTGATGTTGCTGTCCTTGATGATAATGATAATGATGCTAAAGACGCCATCGTGACCATATACACATCCGCCGAATCTTGAAACAGGACGCGTGAGCAGAGCACAAGAGCACTTTTAGCACTAATTAGCCAGGCAAATGGTGGGCCATAATCTAATGCTGTTTCATCCAGGAACCCTCCTCTTCTGGCTAAACGCCACCCTGTCGACTCGCAGTTGACGAATGAAACAAGCTCCATCCAAAGACTACCGACACCAAGTTTGGAAAAAGGCTGAGTGCCCACCTGTGGTGCAAAGAGAATTTAGGCTGTCGTGACTACGATAATGGGTTTTTCGGATCAGTACAATTCACTGTTGCTGTTTCCAAATGTGAAATAACAACTATGCTTCAGCTTGGTCCTCAGTCTGATCTTCCCAAGCTAGTGTTTCCGGCAGGATGACTACCAAAGTTACGGAGTACATTAAACTTAAAAAATGAGTCGGCAATCCATGCACAACGTGTCGTACTTGAAGTGAACGTAACGACAAAACTCTGGAGACCCGAACGCTAACAGGACACCGCCTTCGCACCAGGCAAGCGCACCTTGGGAAGGTTGGCTAGATGAGGTCGCATTTTTGACGAATCAGAGCACTCCATAGCATTAGCCGTCTTGTGACCGTCTTTCAACCAATCGCCAAGGCGTGAGGCTCCTCGACAGCCGCAGCGACAACTAGCAACTGGTAAGGTATTTGGCCTAAGATTCCACCTGACACACCCCAGTTCGAGC